AGGAGGAGGAGGAAGAGGAGGAGGCATAAGAAAAAAAAGAGGAACGAGAGGTGGTTTTTCGCATACGCGTACTTTCGGAATTCTTGCGCGTCGGACGAAAAATCCCATTTCCTTGAATACCGCGGATAACATTGGCGCGGGGCCAATCCCATTTACAGCCGGCGTTCGCTTATTCGAAGTAAATACAAAATGAAATAGGGGGGAGGAGAAGGAGGAGGGAAAGACTCGTCGAAGAGTCCAGCGCGATTTTTCCACGACTTCTCGCCTGATAGGTGTCGCGTCGCCCGACCGGATCCCCTGGATCCGCGCCAATTTCAATCTTCGACCGCCGCCATTTCCCCGCGACGCGGACGGTCGCGCGACTTTCGAAGAATCAAAATCGTCCGTTCCAGGTTGATCACTTCACCGTCGAGAAAGGGTGAACGCGAAAAAAAAAAAAAAAGAAGAGAGAACAAAAATCGAAAACGCTTAATTGTTCGAATAATTCGACGGCCATCGATCCCCCTCCCCCTCTCCATCACGATCGGTTCTCGTGGAAATGTAATAAAAGTTGAAAGCACCCTTGAACGTTGATACATAGAATGTAAAAAAAAAAAGAAAAATGTATTTTTTCGCGAATTATACTCGATCGACGAAGTAAACTTTTTCGAGAGGTTTTTCCGAACGGGCGAAAATTTCGACAAAAATTTTCCCCCTCGCCGGGAAAACGTTTAGTATTTCATTATCGCGTTTTTATCTTATCGGGGAAAAATTAACTTCGAGTTGGAAACTTTCCTCCCTCCCTCCCTTGATTCGACGAGAGGGAATTTTTTCCATCCTTCCCTCGTCCTCGAAAAGGATTGCCACGATTCGTGGAGGCCGGCCGTCTCCGTTTCCGCTCTCTTCCTCCGGATCACCGATCTGTCACTCGACGGAAGAAAAAACGACGGAAAAAAAAATTTTCAACTCGGCTCAACAACTTTTCTCCCTTTCCGTGATCCGTCCAGGTGGAGTGGATGGTAGCAACTCTGTCGAAGAGGAAGCGAGAGGAGACGCAAGTTTCGATAAATTTGTATTTTCTTCCTCCTCGTCCCCGGAACTCGGCACGAAATTCCGGTATTCCGGTTCCACGACTCAAACTCTTGGCTGTTTACGCTAAGACTCTCCCTTGCCCAAAAGAGGAAGAAGGAGAAGAAGAGGAGGAAGAAATTGCTGATCCCGTAAGGAGTCGAAAAACCTACGTCTTCTCGATCGACCGAGTTTCCGTTTCCTATGCTATTTCGTATGAAATTATTTACGTACGTATTTGCACCGTTCGACCATTCTTCCTGGAAGGAGTATAGGAAGGAAGTTCGCTTCGACGTTGTTATAACGGGGAGACGAATGATTCGCAAACGTTTCTCGATTTTTTCTGGCCACGAGGATATAATCTAGAATATAGAGAACATAGAAACTGTTATTCTACTTTAATCCTGATATACGTCATCCGCACGACGCGAATAACAGACATAAATTAGGTATAATAAATACTTTCCTGTGTTAAACATAATCGATTCGATACGAAGCCGGAAAACAATATGAATGCCAAGATAAACGAAAAAAAATATAGGTTTTAAATTATTGAAGGGAAATGGAAAATGATTGAAGACGTTGAAAATAGTGAGAGTGCAAAAGTTAAAAAGATAAAACGAAGTTTTTAATCGAAGGGGAAAATGAATAGAAGGAATATTAGAAGATAATTACTCGGCATAAGAACAACTCGAGGCATCCGCGAAGGATGTGTATTCACGTTGGCGTGGAGAAGCACAGGAATCGTTCCGGCCACGAGTTTAAATCAGTTGGATGAACTTGAACGTCGACCCGTTCCACCGTTTCTTTCGTTGCCCGACCCCGCGACCGAGAATCCCTTTCGAACGACGGGGGAAACCAAGCATCCGTCGTGTCGAGAAAAATATTTTGTCGAAAACTTTTGGCGGAATAGTCGAAACAATTTTTTTTTTCTTTTTTCCTTTCTTTTTGTAAGTCGTACGTAAACGAACAAAGGAGAAAGAAAGGGAGAGAGAGAGAAAAGAGAAATCAACGAGGCGTAGTTGAATTTCAAAAATTCCGTGTTTCCGAGTTCGTTTTCTCCTGCACTGTGCCCCGGTTTTTGCAGGAGAAACCGAGAGGATCTCTTTCCGGGAAATTCACGGGGAGCAAAGGGGATCGGAATTTTGGAATTTTATAAACCAGAGAGCTACCAAGATTCTTCTCGTGGCTCCTCGTCTTATCCGCGGGAGGGAAACGCAAGGGAGAGAGAGAATGGAAATCGAAACGTTCTCGAAAGCGTCCTTTCCTTCGAATGAATGCTCGAATCGAAATTTCTCTATCCCCCGTGCGATATTTTAACCATTTTGCCACTTTCAACAACTCCACACGATTTTCAGTACCCGTTAACTGTAATTTTCTTACTAGATAATGATGCGCGAATTAACGTGTAAAATATTTTTATATTCCAATATTTTGTGTATGTTTACGTGCGAAGAAAATTTATCGAATGTTAAAGTCTGTATTCTTATCTTTATTCATTCTATATTCTTCTTATACCACATCTCTATCGTCGATTTCTTAACAAATAGAAATAATTTCGTTATTGTTCTCATATTCACTGTCTACTATTTTTATTTTTCACCTTATATTTTTCACTTTACTATTTTCTTTCTCTTTATTTTCATCGCTACTTTCCGTCCTTCTATCGTCGATTTGTTAACGAATAGAAATAATTTCGTTATTCAATAACGAAAAGTCAAACTCATCTTAACTAATTTCACCCGTATTCTGTTTACAAAACTTGAAAACTTCGAAAATAATATTTCTATTGCCACTGACTCGGTTAAACTCGACCAACACTGAAATGTTTTGTAATTTGATCCGCGATGTAATTTGAGATAAAAAGTCTAACCGTTCGACGGTATGTTATTCCACGCTTCGCAAGGTTACACGTAGAGAGCTTATGAATTTATTCTATATAAATAAATATTGAATCGTAGCATCGATCCAAGTGCTGATTTTTGAAATGAGATTTCGCGAAAATAGATCGATAAACGAGGTTTGAGTCAGAGGTGTAAGGTGAGAATGAATCATTAAAGCTTCGAGAAAACGGGAAGATTTTGCCTCGTTTATAACAAGTAAAACCTTTGGAAAACGCGAATGAAATTCATCGTGTATCGCGCAACTGTTGTCTTTAGTCTTTTCCCGTAATCCTCGCCCGCATTGTTGCAAACACGTCGCCGTGAAAGTAATTTTACAGGGTGAAGCGTTTTGTGTTTTAAAACGCGACTCGCGGCTACATTCCATTCCCCGTGCTCGCCGTGTTTCTCCTCTCCATTGTTTCCCCCGTTCTTTACTCTTCCGCCTTTTTTAAGCCCTTTCCCCTCGCTCGCAAAACCGAAAGAGCAGACAAACTGAAAGAAATTCTAGCAATTTAGACGAAGAAGCTCGATTGAACTTTTCCACGAGATAATTCTAATAGTTCGTATTGAGAATCGAAATTGTGAACTATCACGCGTAGTCCATTTCTCTTCTAAACGAAATCATCTCGCACGAATGTAACGGTGGAGAAAATTCGCTAAAATTCGTAAAACTCTATTCTGCCATATTCCTTCTCCTCGAGGC